CATATAAAGAGCCTTAAATTTCTTAAAGAATCTATGGAACTTAAAGAATCTTAAATTTAGAATTTAAAGAACCTTAAATTTAGAAGCTAAAGAATCTTAAATTTCAAGGTCAAAATTTTTTTCGTACTCTACTCGTCGCAAAGGATCGCAATCTAATAGTCCTTTTGAAGAATGGCAAAAACGTTTTTTGATTATTTAACACTGCGTTCTAACAGCGACTTTATGGTCTCCGGTTCGCGTGGACATGATGTTTATATTTTGTTATTTCATTATTTAGATTCACACTGACGCTACAACGATGCTGCATGACAAATCAAATGTTAGTGAAACCTAATACAAAAATTACTCCGTCGTCCAGAACTATAAAGTCGCTGTTAGCACTTTGTTTTCCTGATGAAATATTGTAGAATTTTAAAATAGTAAAAATTTCACTAGAAACATGGGAAAATGTTATTTACGAATATTTTATTATTTTCAAATTAAAAATATTAAATTATTATAATAAATATTAAATTTTTATATTCGATTCATTAAACAATAATGTTCAGTGTCGGTGTTTGCCATAAATATTCTCGTCCCTTCGGCAGAGAAACTCTATATTTTTATACTTTACAAAAAAAAGTTCTATTTTGAAAACATTTGTTTATCGGTTCCCGTCGGGGACTTACGACGTTATTCGAACAAGTTCAACGACCCGCATTTCAAGCATAATCTATTCAAAGGAATATATTCTCGATTATTGCGCAATTGCAATAATCCTCCAAAAAAATGCGAAGCTGATTAAACATCCAGCAATTTCAACAAAATTAAGTTTCTCCTCGGACTCGTACGTCGATTATGGTAATAAATTACAGTCAATGACGCGTTTATTAGTATTTCCTCTAATGGACTTCGGTAATAACCGAACCGTTCCAATTATTCTAATGCTCCCCGTACGTAGCGTGGAAAAAAAGAAAAAAATCAGTAAAATGAAAATCCCATTCGCATTTTCAATATCTCTCCCTTGTTCCACCCAGTGTCCTGGAAACGCGATCGCTCGTGAAATCGTTTGGGAATGAGTTCGCGGTAAGACATTCCGATCGAACTTTAATTTTAATACCAATTTTAATTTCCATTTGCGCAAAATTCCATTCGAGCAGTAATATATTAGCATTAAATTTACACGATTTCCTCTTCTTCTGTTATTCTTCTTTTCTTTTTTTCCACGCAGATTTCTACTCTTTCCCATTCTCGTCCAAGTTTGCGAAACAGGCGTTTTTCGTACGTGTGAAAAAAAAAAAAAAAAATAGATGGTTTCTACGATCGAAACGCGCGGTACAATCCCGCAACAAGTGTCACACGCGTGATGTGCTTAGCATAACCATAATTATTCGTGCTCATTGTTCACAACGCGGTGAAAGAAGCTACGTTTGTCACCGGCGCGCCGGCGTTCGAACAATGTAGTCTCACTTTGTTGAACACACTGTTTCCTGGCCGCAGATTCGGTCGACGTGACAATAATAAGCGAGAACTTGCGATAAGGAAAAANTTTTTATAAAAAATTCGAAACACACTGAAAGGTAGTCGAGCGACTCTCCAATACTAGAGATTAATTTCAAATTAATTGTCTTGTCCCGGACAAATATTTGAAACTGATCAATTTCGAATTCGTCGTTTCGTCAAATGAATTTCAATTAATTAAGAGGGCTGCCCGTCTTGTTACTTTCAATCGCATTATAAACAATTAATCGACGGAAATGTTCACTTACGCGCTTTCTTGCAATAATTTTGTACATTCCAGCAAAATCGTCGACGACACGTTGCTCAAAACGCGTAAAATTAACTCGTCCATTCTGTCACACAGAAGGAGCACTTACAACTTGTATTGTAATTCACGATAGCGGGAAATTCGATGGCTGGACAAGTGTGTCCAAAGAATGACGATGAGGCACTATTGTTGTGTATATATGACAGCCTGCTGCGTTATAAAATTTGTTTTCATCCTGAAGGTTGATTCTGTTTTCCTCGGATTCTGTTCTACGTACGTACAACGTACATTCGCCATTCGAAAACATGTTACATCTCGAATAAACACTGGCTACGATTCTATATTCATAGATGAAAGAAAGAGAAAGAGAGAGAGAGAGAGAAGGAGATTTGAGCTCCATTCGTAGTAAATGAGCGTGACAGAGGGTCGTGGGCCACCCTACGTCGCGACGTCGTCGACTCTAACAAAAAGTTGCACGACAATTACGCTCGTAGGCTCTTTAAAAACGAGCGCTCGTAAATACACGAGACTGCGTTATACTGACGACTGTCATACTACCGACCGTTACGGTTTTATGTGCTTACGTTGTCGAGCTGTTCTGTTCCTTAAATAAACGTTAATTTACATCGTCCCTTCGTAAAGTTACGTAATTGAACTCCGTGTTTATAGGATCAGTGAACTTTTCACGTTTGATTGACTACTTGCGCTGGGCAACCGACTGCGGACCATAACGAGTGACCAAACCGTTTACAAAAATTCTCGACGTAACTCCATCGGAACAGGGGTTAAGGGATCGATGAACTTTCCTTCTGTTTCCCAAATAACACGAAAACTCGCTTCAACCTTGGTGGATTTTTGGATTGTTTATCGATTAATAGAAAATTTAGAAAATTTTCTTCGTGAAAAGATCGATAAAGAAGAATGCCTCTTTTGGTTATCTCGATCTTTGGTTATCTCTTTGGTCTAATAACGAAAACTTTCGGAGAAGTTCAGTGAAATCTCGATTATGGGAACGATCGATCGTCGATTGGTAGAAAATTTGGCAAATTTCTTCCAAATCTAAAAAGATCGATAAAGAGGGATGCGTATTTTATCTCTCGTTACCCCAATCAATATTCGACTTTGGTGTTTTATTTGAGGGATCAACGAACTTTCTCCGTTTCCGAAATGACACGAAAATTTTTTCTTTGGTAATCTTGATTATGGGAGCGTGGGTCGAGCAAACGATCGATCGTCGATTGATAGAAAATTTGAAAAATTTCTTCGTAAAAATGTTTTAAGACAAAGAGGGGTGGTTTCATTCCATTTGTTACCCACGATTAATATTCGACTTTGGTCTTGTAACACGAAAACTTTTTCAACTCCAGTGGAATCTCGATTATTGGAGCATGATTGAATGATCGATCGATCGATTGATAGGAAATTTGGCAAATTTCTTGCAAGTCTAAAGAGATCGATAAAGAAGGATGCCTAGTTTACCCCTTGTCACCCCAATTAATATTCAACTTTGGTCTTATTACCGATTGATAGAAAATTTGGCAAATTTCTTGCAAATCTAAAAAAAAAACGATCGATAAAGAGTGATGCCTATTTTACTTGCCAGCCCGATTAATATTCGACTTTGGTCTATTCCACTTAACATTCTAATAATCCACTTAATATTCTAATTAATATTCGACGCTTTGACGCGCGTAGCGTCTCGTGAAAGTTAAAAAACGTGCTCGTAATCACGCCTCGAATACCTATGCAGAGCAAAGCAAAGCAAAGCAAAGCAAACGGTGCAAGATCCTGACGTTCGTGAATGATAAATCTCTCAAGCGTTCGTAACTCTGTTTCTGATTCGCCACAGTTTCAAGAAATCTTATCGGCTCGGCAGTTTACCATGCGATTACGTTGGGAGAAAAAGAAGCGACAGGTTGTTCCGATGATACAGACATTTTTTAATCGACGGTTCTTCGAAACGAGAGAAGCCAAATGAAGATAGGAAACTCCGATATCATAGTTTAGATATTAATTTAATTTTTAGATGTTAGATTAATTTTTGAAATATATAATAATTTTAGATATTGGTGTAATTTTTAAAATATTTAATTTTAGATATTAGTTTAACTATTAAAATATTTTCAGCGATTCTTTATCACTTTATTCGTATCCATGCACATCGAGTTTTTTTTCAATGTTAACAGTTATATTTGTTAAATTACTTTTCGTCCTCATGCTTCAAGAAACGTGTGGCGAAAATTTAAATAATAAACGCGATTGAAACGCAGTCACTCACGTGCGACCGAGTTAATGTTTAAAGGAAAAGAAAACAATCATGTAAGTGAGATCACGCGGTTTAATAATAATAATTAACAAAACGCGATTGAAAATGTGACGCCCATTAAATGTAATATTCATAAAATATGATTTACAAAACAAATTGTATTTCGTTAAATATAAATTTCAATTCGCGAAATATGTTTGACTTCGTTCGTTCAGTTGCGTCACGCAGAAAAAAAAAAAACATTGACGCAATTTCAAATCGGTCGGGTTCAAAATTTTCCAAGAGATCCGCGACCTTCTAGTTAGTAAATACACGATACCAGTTCGAACACTCGTGTATCGAGGAATCATCTTTTCTTTTTTTTTTTTTGCTTGATTTTGCTCTCGACCGCGTGTCACCTTTGCTTCAAACTAACTGTACACAAAAACATTCGGCGCGACGTTCAAACTAATGAAAACATATCGATATTATACGGTTTTCTATAACGTATGGGAAAAACACGGCACACACGTTGTACATATTTATCTGACAGTGAGTACGTAGCCAAAAGTTATTATACTGTTGTCATTTCAGATGTCATTATACTACGTTATAGAAGTGATTGTATTGTTATATTATATATTGTATAGCAACTTGTATTATTAGTATATTAGTATATAATAATATTAATATAATAATGTACTAGAGTATAGTATAGTACAGTATAGTATTTTATAATGTAGTTTAATAAAATATATTATATAGTACATTCTATCATAACTTTATAGATATAATAATATTAATATAGTATATTAATATAGTACAATATAACATACTATATAGTATATTACGTCAGAATAACTTTATAAATGTAACAACGTTATCGGTTACGTTGTAACGTTGTCGCTTATAACGTTGTTGTTATCTATAAAGTTGTTACACGACGTTGATTGTTCTCGCAACAAGCGAGAAACAGAGGAAGATGAAAAGGTAGATAGAAAGACTTACTTTTTCAGCCACTTGAACATTCCCATCATGCCGAAGGCGCACGTGGCACATCGGGCGATCGCTCGTAAATACCCGCCGAGGACTTGACAGGTGCACGACGTAAGCTGCACCACGAAGGAGGAATCGGCGCGCGAATCGCGCGAACGGCACTGGTCTCCCTGCTTTCCGCGACTGACGGCGGATTGACGAGAGCTCGTGTCGTCACGACAGTTCCTTCCGACACTCCTGACAACGCAACTGTCTGCCGCCTGGTCGCCATTCCCCTGTAGTCTTTCCAGTTGTCCAACTGTTGCCCCACCACCGTCATCCTGCTCCGGTTCTCCGTTTTCTTCCTCCTTATCCTTCCTCTGAGCCCTTTGTCAACAGGAAAACACGATTAACCCCTTGCGCTGGCAACTGGTACGCGCGGACCATAACGAGTGACCGAAACAATTTGTCGTTTTCTTTTTCTTTTTTTTGAACTCGTGTCGGTGTGATATCACTGAATAGCAATTATTCATTAGTAATACGTATTATTAATTAGTAATACTTGTCATTTGTTTTGCCCGGGTTGTACTTAAACATATTTGAAACTGAGAAAATGTTGCAAAAAAAAAATTGTCGACGTGCGTGGCACGTCATTCAAGCGCAACAGGTTAACCTGACTTGCGCTGGCAGCTGATTGCGGACCGTAACGAGTGACCGAACCGTATACAATAACTCGTCGCTTTCTTTTTCTTTTGAACTCGTGTCGGTGTGATATCACTGAATAGAAATTATTAACTGGTAATACACTTATCATTTGTTTTGCCCGGGTTATACACAAACACATTTAAAACTGAGAAAATGTTGCAAAAAAAAATTGTCGACGTCTGTGGCACGTCATTACAGCGCAAGGGGTTAACCACTGATTGCGGACCATAACGAGTGACCGAAACAATTTGTCGCTTTCTTTTTCTTTTGAACTCGTGTCAGTGTGATATCACTGAATAGAATAACAGCGTAAGAAGTTAATACGGTTAACAGAGACGAAAATTTCTCCCCTCGAAGTACATAAATACATAATGTATTTTTTCGAGTCACGTCTCTTATTAATATTTTCGTTTGAATAATCGAGTTTAACATATCGTTTAATGAACTTGCGAAAATTTCTACGCCCGAAATATACAATGTATCAACGAGTCGCGTTTCTTGTTGTTAGTATTCTCTTCGTTCGAATTTTAATTCGGACAGTCGACTTTGACATATCGTTTGTAAAAGTTACGAAAATTTCTTCGCACGAAATATATGATATATATTCCCCCGTGTCACGTTTCTTGTTGTTAATAGTTTGGCTCGAGCTTTCAATTCGAACAGAATATCAGCGAAAAGAGAACCACGTGTTAATCTGTCGAAGAAAATTGGAGCAACAGATTTGAGTTTAACGAGTTTCGTTTGATGAAGCTACTGAAAATTTCTCGAAATGATATATTCCCGAGTCACGTGTCTCATTGTTAGTATTCTCAGTCACAGATCGTGTTCGAGTCAAACAAAATCAGTCGACAAAAGAAAAAAAGAAAAAAAAAAAACGATATGTTAATCTATCGAAAAAAAATTGCAACAATAGATACGAGTTTGATGAAACACTAGTATTTAAACTGTGATGGTAAAATTTACCTGTTGCCGAATATGCGTAGCATCCTAATAAAGTCGTTTAGCTTCAAAATTTTAATTGTACGTCAAGAAATGAATTACATTGTCGTTGCTCTCGAAAAAATCAATCAATTTTTCGCGTCGTGCGATGAACGAAATGTTACAATTACGATTTAAAATCGATCGTTCGGCAAATTACGGTAAAATACGATAAAATTCCCGCGTCAACAATAAAAATGTTCGTCGAATATTTTGTCACAACATTTATCGAAATTCTTCGTTGACCGTGATGAGAATGAAATTGTTCATACTCGTCGAGAAAACGAGTCAATTTTCGAATTGTCAGAATCGCACGTGCGAAACCTGCACTGGAAGGGCGTGCAACTGGCAGCTCGTCGTGTCAAACGAATCGACTACCGAAACAAGGCTCAACTCAGGTAAATACCAACGTGGAAACCCTCGAATTTGACAACGCTGTTCAAATTTGGCAACAACGTTTTCGAGAAAGTGTTGGAAATATTTTTGTCCAGTGTATTGGCGCGCGTGACACCTTTTGTTTGCAACAAAGATCGAACGACGATGGTTATATATTTTGACGTTTCGACAATTTGAGTCGAGGTAATAATGCTTTTCGATCGATCTTATTGATACGTTTAAATATTTTTAAATACTTTCTACCGCCACTTGGCATCAATACTGAGATTTATATATTCCCTTTTGTGGATGTATTGCAAGGAAGTAGTATTAAATGCAAGGTGGACCAAAAGTTTCTTCCCAACTATTTTTTTTCTTTTCTTTTTTTTTAAATAAAACGTCAAGATACAAGAGAAAAGTAATTTTATTAATTTCAAATTAAATTTAAGTTTAAATGTGATTTTTTCTTTCATCACGTTTATGAAGATTATTTCGTTCGAATGTTGAAATAAATTTATAATAAAAATATTTATTTTAGCAGGAAGGATTTATTCTAGTAGGAAGTGATTTCTCGCCCACCCTGTATGTAGTTTTCATTTTCACGCATGGAGAAACAACTGAGAGAAGAACATTTGAGAGAAACATTTGTGCTCGCTTTATCCTGAATTTGCTCCAATTAATAATATATTTGTACGTTTGCTCATTGTTCGTTTTCCTTTCTTTGCATTTGCATTTCCGCGAAATGCATTATAACAATTAAATAAGTAACGTTGAGCACTTTCATTTTGCTCTGAACTCGATATCAGATTGTAACGCGAATAGAGGAATGATTCTGCTAAAAAAAAAATGTCATAATCAAAAAGCACCCTTTGTATAATTCTCACGGCATTAACAAATCTGGATAATTCAGTTTGAACTTTTCTTAGTCTGCAATTTGCTTATCTGCAATTACACAGGAAAATCGATTCCGATTCCTCTGAAACACGATTTTAATTCTAATTTGCGTATCTTTATTCTATAATATTTAACCGATACTATATATAGCTGTATAACTAAAATATAATCACATAACGTCACTTCAATGACATCGAATATTCAAAGCCGATTTACTCAAAAACAGAGCCTCGAACGAAAAAATTTCATTCTTTATTTTCTTTGTTTTTATTCTCTTATTTTTATTCATTATTTTTTATTTTCTTATTTTTATTCTTTATTTCCTTTTTTTACGTGGAATCACCTCCACTTTGCTTGTACAGATCGATACAGGGACACCATGTAGAATAATTATTGAAATTACCTAAAAATAATTACTAAAATTATCTGAAAATAATTACTGAAATTACCTAAAAATATCGATTCCAATCTCTGATTTAGAACTCGCTCCTACACTATAATACAACATCGATATTAGCCATTGATCTTGGCGTTTTAACGCCACTTGCGCTGGCAGCCGATTGCGGACCGTAACGAGCGACCAGACCGTCATATAATAACTCGTCTTCTTTTTGAATTCATCGGTATATCTCTGGATAGAAATTACCGAGAAGTAATAAATTTATCATTTGTTTTGCCCGGGTTAAACATATTTAAAACTGAGAAAATGTTGCAAAAAATTGTCGACGTGCGTGTCATTCAAGCGCAAGAGGTTAACCGCTTGCGCTGGCAGCTGATTGCGGACCGTAACGAGTGACCGAACCGTATACAATAATTCGCCACGTTCTTTTTGAACTCGTGTCGGTATAATATCACTGGATAGAAATTACCGAGAAGTAATAAATTTATTAATTGTTTTGCCCTTCTTATACTTACTAAATATATTTAGAACTGAGAAAAAAAAAATACTTGCAATTTTGGAACAAAAAATTCTCGACGTGGCACGTCATTTCAGCGCAGAAGTGGTTAAAAAAGATTTCGCTCTCTTCTCGATTTTCGTGTTACTCGAAAGTCCTCGGGGGGGAAAAATGATTTTCGTCGTCGTTCGAGGGACTTTGCTTTAATTTACCCTTCAAGGGATTTGTCTTTCAAACGAAGACGCCCGTACTCGTTTGGGAATTCGCATTCCTAGACAATGGCTCGTTGCCTCGACGCTAAAAGGAAGCTTTTTGACGGAATCATTGTCCGCGATGATGTTTCTCGTTTGATGTGAAGCGGCATGGGGAACAGACGTAACGACGTGACTCTTTTCGCCGGCTCAATTCACGAGACGGGCAGACGGCAATCAGTGTGATGAGTGATAACAAACAACAATTACCGCGCGCAGTCTGCGGCAAAAAAGAGTGGAACTGGGCCATTGGCGGCGCGCGTGGGAGGAATGGCATTTTATAATGCCACGAACGAAAGTGCCAGCCACTCGTCGCGTCGTAACGAGCAATTCGCGATTAGTCGAGCTTAGCGAATGAAATTTGTAAGGATTAAGATGCACCTTGTACAGATAGTAGAAACAGTGAACTTAATTTTATTCGTTAATAATTGAAAATAATAATTAACTTAATTTTAAAATATAAAATATTGTAAAATAATAATTATATGATAATTAAACTAATAACTTTATTTTATATGATAATTAAAATAACTTTATTTTATATTATAATTAAATAACATTTTAATAATAATATTTTACTTATATATAATTTATTATTAACAATTTAATAATATTTTATATTATAATTAAATATAATTATAATAACTTTATTTTATATTATAATTAAAATAATAACTTTATTTTATATTATAATTAAAATAATAACTTTATTTTATATTATAATTAAAATAATAACAGAATTAAATTTAATATTATAATTAAAATTTTCATTTTACTTTACTTATTGTTTTTAATTTTATTTAACTTTGTTTATTTATTTTTACCTTACTTTATATTATAATTGAAATAAATAAAATTAATTTAATTTTATTTATTAATATAAAAATTCGTGAAGTAGGATCAGGTCAATTTCGACAAACAGATATCGTCGATAATTTCATACCTTCCAAATTACGAGTTCATTGACATATATGAAGGAGGAAAAAAGAACAAGTTCGGTTACCAAAAACATAAAATTAAAATTATAATTACGTTAAAGTCAAAATTATCATTACATTACAATTGTAATTATATTAAAATTAAAATTGAAATTACAATCGTGGCGATAAAGTATTATTGTACACGAGATCTCGCGTCGAAGAATCTTTAATTCAAAGATAACAAACATTTCACGCAGATTGGAGTTAATGATTTGGTAGTTTTATTTATATATATTTTGGGACTAGTTCATTTTTGGTTATTTAAATACATGCAAGAGACAAACAAACGCTAAATAGAGGTAGAGAGTTTCAAGCGTTGCGGCAAATGATTATCACAATGAGTGGGATTTCAAGAAATGTCGATGCTCCTGCTTCATAACTGATGTGCTCGCTTATGGGATCACGCTCTGTCCTGTTTAACGCGATTTCATCTCCTGCTTTACGCAGGAAGTAAATGCTTGCAAATGCTTGAGACGTTGTTGAGACTGTAAAATGAAAAACGAGAGCGTACAATTAATTAATTGCTTCATCAAGTGATAACAGATAATCAAGTATAACTTTGTTACTATACATTAGAAGGCCAAACAACACTCGTGTAAAAAAAAAAAAAAAGAAAAATTACACGTCTCATTTTTGATTACATTATTATCTGGAAAGTCGAAAGGTTTGAAAGATCATGTTTGCCACACGAGCTTCTCGTTAATTAAATAAGTCAACAAGTATTCAACTAGTACCTTGAAACCTCTGCGCAGTCGGTCCTTCATTATCGCTATAAATTCCTTGTAGGACAACTGGCCATCGCCATCCTCGTCGAAAAGCGCGAAGACAGTATCAATAATGTGATTGCTGAGCACGCTTCCGGTACAAATTTTCACGGCACGTTGGAATTCATCTGCGAAGCATATGATAACATGATAAATTACTCAAATTAAATTAGTTACCCAGCTTAAATTAGTTACGTACTTAATTTAAATTATTAACAAATTAATTATATTATAAACTAAATTATTGACAACTTAATTATATTATAAACTAAGTTATCGACAACTTAGTTATATTATAAACTATGTTATTGACAACTTAATTATATTATAATCTAAGTTATTGACAACTTAATTATATTATAAATTAAGTTATCAACAACTTAATTATATTATAAACTAAATTATCGACAACTTAGTTATGTTATAAACTAAATTATCGACAACTTAGTTATATTATAAACTAAATTATTGTCAACTTAGTTATATTATAATCTAAGTTATTGACAACTTAATTATATTATAAACTAAGTTATCAACAACTTAATTATATTGTAAACTAAATTATCGACAACTTAGTTATGTTATAAACTAAATTATCGACAACTTAGTTATATTATAAACTAAATTATCGACAACTTAGTTATATTATAAACTAAGTTACTGACAACTTAGTTATATTATAAACTAAATTATTGACAACTTAATTATATTATAAACTAAATTATCGACAACTTAATTATATTATAAACTAAATTATTGTCAACTTAGTTATATTATAATCTAAGTTATTGACAACTTAATTATATTATAAACTAAGTTATCAACAACTTAATTATATTGTAAACTAAATTATCGACAACTTAGTTATGTTATAAACTAAATTATTGTCAACTTAGTTATATCATAAACTAAATTATCGATAACTTAGTTATGTTATAAACTAAATTATCGACAACTTAGTTATGTTATAAACTAAATTATTGTCAACTTAGTTATATCATAAACTAAATTATTGACAACTTAGTTACATCATAAACTAAATTATTGACAACTTAGTTATATTATAAATTAAATTATCGACAACTTAGTTATATTATAAACTAAATTATGGACAAATTAATTATATTATATTAATTATATTATATCAACTAATATTAACAACTCAAATTATTAGCTACATTCGAATAATCTTTAACGAAGGATACATCTCGAATATTGGTTACCTTTCGATATTGGTTGATCCGCTAGGGTGTACATTCGCATAGCGATGGAGAAGTCGTCGAGGTTGTTCAGGAACTGATAAAAACGACGAAACTCTTCGAACGTAATGCCGATTTGAAGCTGTGTATTTACCAACATTCTGTCCAAATATTTGTCGTATCTGTAACAGTTCAAGATCGTCGATAATTGCCAATCGAAATCAGATCGATCACTATTATTTTAAAAAGATATTTCGCACGTTCAAAATAGACACGTTCGCGAGCGAAAATGAGAAGAAAGCGAGGGTTCAATGAACTCATTACTTTCATAAATCAATCAATAATTACGAACTTGTAATAAATTATTCTGAATTCCGCGTTTTCTGAATTTCAAAACCAATATCAACTGTTTGAACTATTATAAATAACAATGAGAAATCGCGATGGTCTGCGTTGTGCGTGCAACGAGTTGAAATTTAAAAGACTGGGCCCAATTGCAAAAGATGTAGTTTCTGTTAGAACAACGTGTACGTGTGTGTTTATGCTTGTCAATAGAGCGTGAGGAAAACGGGAGAGATACGCACTCGTCCGTATCGAGATGGGTGTATCGCAGCAGGATCTTCGCGAAATCCAACTCGGAGATAGTGTCGCGACCTTTGCTGAATTCGTGGAACTCGAGCTCCAGAACTTCCTGCTGCAGATTCTCCATGAAGCACTTGAAGTCTTCGTACTTCAGCTCGTTGGTCCCGTCTTTCCCAAAGAAGTGTATCATCAGGGTGGTGTCGACGGCGTGTCGTCGCTGCAACCCCTGCAATAATGATCACGTTGTTGCGGTTGGTGGCTCTTTTCATTCGTCGCGGTGTCACGGTATAATTTAATTAATTGTTTTACGCGTTTTATTAATTATTTTGCGCGTTTTATTAATTATTTTACGTTTTACGTTCTATGCTTATTTTATTAATTATTTTACGTATAATCATCAATTATTTTACGTATAATTATTAATTATTTTACATATTTTATTAATTATTTTACGTACTATTATTAATTATTTATTTTAAGTATTTTATTAATTATTTTACGTATTATCAATTATTTTATATATAATTATTAATTATTTTACGTACTATTATTATTTTATGTATTTTATTAATTATTTTACGTACTATTATCCTTCTTCCGTGAGAAAACATTATCAATTATTTTACGTATAATTATCAATTATTTTACGTATAATTATCAATTATTTTACGTATAATTATCAATTATTTTACGTATAATTATCAATTATTTTACGTATAATTATCAATTATTTTACGTATAATTATCAATTATTTTACGTATAATTATCAATTATTTTACGTATAATTATCAATTTTTTTTCATGTAATTATCAATTATTTTACGTATAATTATCAATTATTTTACGTATAATTATCAATTTTTTTTCATGTAATTATCAATTATTTTACGTATAATTATCAATTATTTTACGTATAATTATCAATTTTTTTTCATGTAATTATCAATTATTTTACGTATTATTATCAATTATTTTACGTATAATTATCAATTATTTTACATATAATTATCAATTATTTTATGCATAATTATCAATTATTTTACACATTTTACTATTACTATCATTTCACATATAACTACCAATTACTTCGTCATACATACATTGTTAATTATCTTAACAACCGGAGTATATAGAATTTTACCTGCTCGTCGTCAATATATTGAACTTGAATCGCTTCTGGTGTTGTCTGCCTCTCCGTCAGAAGGTCCAATTTCTCTTTCGTTTCGGTACCGTGCCGGCCCCTCCAAGCGTGGCTGAAAACTTTTTCCATCTGTGCAAAATAAAGCTAATCTGAGCTCCTGTTTCAGAAATTCTGCTTTACCAATTCACCAATTTGTCTCGAAACCTTCTTCCGTGAGAAAACATACAGGCGAGTTTTGCGCGCAACGCAACGCAACGCAAAGTCTGAAATGGAGGACGATAACAGTCAGCGTGGCAGAGATTAGTGTGAACGTTCGAACAAGTTAGAGTTCACAGTGTTCCATGTGAAATTATATATAATGTTTCTGACCAATGGTTCCCAACTTTTTTTGCTGATGATTTTTACACGTAACTCTTATTATTCAAAAAATGAATTCTTTTTTATGTGGAAGAAACCTAAAAGGCCTTATTAATTTGGTCACTGACCTCTTATATAATTATATTTAATTTAAATGTATATAATTAAATTATATATATTATATATAATATCATATATATATTATATATTTATATCTGATTAAATATTAATAATTTAATTATATATAAATGTATAACATTTATTATATATATATATAATTTTATATTATTATAAAATTATATTATAATATATATTATACATTTATATATAATTAAATATATATAATAAAAACTAAAATATACAAAAAATAAAATAAAATAAAAATATATAATATATTATATTATAATAATACCTATTATATATTTATATATACTTATATATATAATAAAAATTAAAATATATAAAATAGAAATATATAATATATTATATTATAATAATACATATTCTATATATATAAAATTATATATAATGAAAAATTAAAATATATAAAATAAAAATATATAATATATTATATTATAATAATATATATTATATATTTATATATAATTAAATTATATATATTTAATTTAAATGTATTTTGTATTTCAATATTTCTTCCTAGGAAATTAAATTAAATTGCCCCTCGTTGGGAACCACGGTTTTAGGTACAATGCACAATGCTGGACATAATGTGTATCAGTTAGACTATAACGAAATTTAGGTATAGCGTGATTACGCAGTTTTTTCATTAGACGAATAATTTAAAAGTTATCCGAGGCGTGCAAGTTACGTGAATCACCCTGTATTTAGAACGTTTGTTTAGTATATTTTGTAATGAATGTTTTTTGCCTTTCTCCAATCGTAAATCGTTCTTTTTAATCATTATTAACTTGACGTTAACGTTGACGAGGTTGTTAATTAATTAATTTCAACCCTAGTGCAGGAAACTTTCCACGATGAATCTCTCATTCTTCCTCTTTTGTCGTAGTAGTTTATTAGTATCTTTGGATGAAGATTAAACCGTGCAAATGGTATTTATATCTCGTATTTAATTCAACATCTCGCGCAATTTTTCACTTGTTTTATTATATTATTATAGTAAAAAATATATAAAAATAAAAATTGTTATATTATTATGGTAAAAAATTGTAATACAAAATAAAAAAAAAATATATATATATATAATGATAAAAATTGTCATATTATTATAGTAAAAAAATATATAACAATAAAAATTGTTATATTATTATGGTAAAAAAATATATAACAATAAAAATTGTTATATTATTATGGTAAGAAATTGTAATAATAATAAAATCAAAAAAAAATATATATATATATATAATGATAAGAATTGTCATGTTATTATGGTGAAAAATTGTAATGCAAAATCAACAGAATTATAATAAAAATTGCGACACGAAATCAACAGAAAAATCCAGTGAGCTAGCGAAAGTGAAGAAACACAAAAATTAATCACACTTTGCATCTGCAAATTTTTACGACTTACGTATGAATTAGAGACAATTTGTCTTTTCTCACTGCTCTGCTGGTCGTCGCGAAGTTTCGGTTTATGAATGAGCTCCTCATTCACTGGCATGATATGTTTCAACTATAGCGTATCGGAAAGAAACATTGAGATAGATCAGCGAGAAATCAAAAGAGCAAAGCGAAAGAGAAATCAATGGGGAACGCGAATTGAGATGATCGATGAGACGAAGCAAATTCTTGTGAATGAAAATGCGAGTAAAAACGACGGATTAATTTGCAAAATTATGAAATTTATGGAAAAGCGCAAAATTAAAATTAAAATTAAAATTAAAATAAAATAAAATTAAATTAAATTGAAATAAAAATTAAAATTAAAATTAAAATAGAAATTAAAATAAAAATTAAATTGACACAAAACTAAAAGTTCTGACTGAAATTAAAATAAAATTTAATTCCAGTCGAAATAAAGAAACAATAAAGAAATTTTCATTTTAAATCCAAATTATGTTACAAATTTTTAGTTAATCTGTATGTGCCTCGAAGCTTTATTTAAGGGATTTATTAATTTCGATTTAGTTAGGGATTTACAGAGTTAATTGATAATATTATTATGGTAATATTAGCATGATTGTTAAATATCAAAGGCGCTGTTTCAAGACTAATTTGCTTTCTCAAATGGTCGTGCGAAAACTCACTGCACGTTTCGTTTCATCGTCGAGATCTCGATGCTCCAGGTTGCCGCCGAGCAATCGTCGAATCTGCGAAAATTACAAACGTAACCGTGCACACAAATTGACAAGTTCTATCCTCGTCCTTCTTACGGGATCGCGTGATCTTTTTCCTCTCTCGTTTCTGGGAAACCGCGATTTATTTCGCGAGTCTTTCCTCTCGCTGTGCGCTCGAATCGAAAATAGTTGGTCGTGTAATATAGATAATTAGACACGTCTGTTATATTTGGTAGAAATAATTGTGCAATTAAAAGAGAAATCAATAAAGAAATTCAATAAAATAAAATTGTAAGTTTACAATTTTTAAGGAAATTTAAGGTAAATCTTTATTGAAAAATACGATCTCTCTAATCGATTGTTTCCAAGTTACAAATTAGATACATTTACTCGATTTGGCAAAAGTATAATAGCTGCAATTTAAATAAAAAAAAAAAAAGAAAATTTGAAATAAATTTTCATTTAAAAATCTTTGTATCAGTTATTATTAAAATCTTGCACGATTTAGCAAAAATAGTTGTGTTGCAGTTAAAAAAAGAAAAAAAAAAATGATCGAAAATTTAAGACGAATCTTTATTTAAAAATCTTTGTGTCGATTATTATTTTAAACCTTTGTTTTATTTTAACAACACTTCACTTTGACCGATATTTTTTTTTTCTCTCTCTCTTTCTCTCTGTTTTAATAAGAAATCTACGAAAATTTGTGTGTTTTGTTTAATTCAACGTAAAAACGAACGATTTAGAAGAGAGAACAAGAAATTCTTATATAGATCTTACCACAAGAAATTCAGTTTTATCCACACGCTCGTTGCCGTCCGTGTCGAACATGTTGAACGCGATCCGGAAACCTGATTTAGGCTCTGCAACAACAATCCTCGTTACAAAAGTGTGAAATGAAAATGACATTAATTAAAACAATTAATAAATTGATATTAATGAATGAATAAAATTAATAAAAAAATCCTCGCTCGTAAGTGTGAAATGAAAATGACATTAATTAAAAAAATTAATAAATTGATAAAAAGAATTAATTAACGAATGAATAAAATTGATAAAAAAAATCCTCGTTCGTAAGTGTGGAATAATCGAAATTAATGAAAAAAGATGCAAGCGTGTTGTTGAGAGTCGAGAGAAAAAGCTGAGGAGAGAAATCAACGGGTACTCACTGATTAGAATAGACAGAAGAAAGAGATACTCCGTGTAAGAAATAATCCCTACGAAAATAGAAAGAAGAATGTTATTACGTACGTATTACAAATTATTGTAACTGTTATAGAAATGATAATAAATTAATATAATTAATGTTAAATTATTATAATTAATTAGTATATATATATATATATATATAAATTATATATTATAATTGTATAATAATATATATTTAAATTATATATATTATATTTATTTATTATATATATATTAAATTATATAATATTATATAAGTATAATATACTTATATATATTATACTTATAAATTATAATTGTATAATAATATATATTTAAATTATATATATTATACTTATATACTATATATTATACTTATAAATTATATAATTGTATAATATATAATTCACATTTATAATTATATATTACTTTGTAATTAATTAATAATATTTATAATGAAATATATATAAATTATTGTATTAATGTTTATTAATATAATAGTGAGAGTGAATCCATTTACGAGGACGAAGATGATATACATGTATTGTTCGCGAACGGTGTACCTCGCCTCGTTTCGTTCAGGACGATAAACTCCAATACTAATTTCCACGATAACCGCGTTAACTCGTGATCCCGGAGCGTGACAGATTGTCTTATAGCCCTCCTAAGCCAAAAAGAAGAGATAGCGAACGAACAAACGATTCGTTAGATACGCCCCCAGTATCTAGGCACACACACCTTCCCCACGATTTATATTTACAGAAACGTCGAATAATTCACACTTTCTTCGTCTTCCCCCTGCTCGAAGGGGAGAGACGGTCCTTCCAGTGTTGGATCTTTGATCCTTGAGTTAGAGATAGATAGATAGATAATAGATGGACAGAGAGAGATAGATATATAGATAGATAATAGACAGACAGAGATAGATAGATAGATAATAGACAGAAAGAGATAGGTGGATAATACATAGACAGAGAGAGATAGATAGATACATAGATAATAGATAGACAGAGAAAGATAGATACATAGATAGATAATAGACAGAGAGAGAGAGAGAGAGAGAGAGAGAGAGAGAGAGAGAGAGAGAGAGAGAGAGAGAGAGAGAGAGAGATAATAGACAAAGAAAGATAGATACATAGATAGATAATACATAGACAGAGAGAGATAGATAGATACATAGATACATAGATAAATAATAGCTAGATAGACAGATAGACAGAGAGAGAAAAATAATATATATATATATTTTATATATATATATATATATATATATATATATATATATATAGATAGATAGATAGATAGATAGATAGATAGAGATAAACAGATAAACAGAGAGAGAAAGAGAGAAAGAGAGAGAGAGAGAGAGAGAGAGAGAGAGAGAGAGAGAGAGAGAGAGACAGAAATAGAGATAGAGAGAGATAAATATAGATAGATGGGTAGAAAGTGAGAAACCAAGTCTTTAGCTTTGTGCCGGACGAGCACTGAATCGAGCGGAGGAGGTGCACCTCACAAAACGCTTTCACGGCTGTGAAAGGCCGGAGGGAAAGTTTACGAAGCGGAAAACGAAGAAAGTTCGACGTGGAAGCTCCACGGCGAGATTTATTTTTCCCGACTGCGATTGAATCGAACAGAGAGGGAGGTAAAAGGGAGAAAAAAGAATGTCGGATCAAAAATCTTTCACGGATGGAGCTGTTTACCGACCGAGCAAGGTCGGCGGACATCAGAAAAACTCGGTGCCCCACATAAACATACATACGTGATAATATACAGATTTTTCTGGTCGGATTGTTCGAGAGAAGACGAAATCTCATTTGGTGAGACTGAAATCTCAGGCACCGGGTTCGTTTCTTGGAATTTCTCGTTGGTTTTCGAAAGAGAACTGTCATTCATATACAGGGTGTCCCAGTTGCGATTGTCTCTCGAACTATTGTAGAGAAGCATGTTTAAGGCGGGGCCGTAGGTGGAAATTTTATTTTCATCGGTGAGATGTTGCACGAATATATTTGAAAATTTTTGGAGGGAAATTTGAAAGAAAGTATGGATAAACCAAATTTAAGCTAGGAAATTACTTTTCAACCAGACAACCGGATCCATATGTACTTTTATAATATTTGTACTATTATACTCGATATGTACTTTTTAATATTATAAATTTAATATATATGTATAAATTTATATATAAATATAATATTATTAAATTAATATTAATATTAATATAATATTAATATAATATAAATTAAATTAATATTATAAATATTTATACATTAATAAATATATATATAAATTTATATATATATATATTATATTATTATATTATTATATATATAAATTTATTATATATATTATATTATTATATTATTATTTATATATATATTATATTATTATAATAAATATATAAATAATATATATATAATTTACACATATATGTATAAATTTATATATATATTATTTAATTATATAATATATAAATATTTATATATTAATAAATATATATATTATTTAATTATATAATATTATTATATAAATATTTACATATTAATAAATATATAAATATATAAAATAATATTTTATATATATATATATATATAAAAAGTCGTATATCAATTTAGCCTAATTTACTTTTTTACATTGATCACAATGTGATACAATTTTACATTGATACAATCACCTTCTAGTCGATTTATTACGAGTTAACGATGACACTTTGTGTACATCGAATAAAATATGAAATTCTCAACTCAAATGCCAACGCGAGGAGAGAGAGAGAGAGAGAGAGAGAGAAGGCGAGATCCAGAAGAGAGGGAGCTCCGTTTATTAGAGGCAAGTGTGAAACTGGCTTCATGCGTGATTATTTGCATTTCCATTAGCGCGATAAACGTGCCCGGCGATCGCCCAAAAAGTCGAACCAGCTGCGCCACTCACTCATTAGCAGCCCTGTTATTTCAACCGTCCCCCAAGGGTGGCGGGATTAATTGCTCCGACGAATCTCGCGAGAGCGGCGAGAGCTCTCGAGATTTTCGAAAAGGAAACCAGTCGAAATCGTTCGTGCCGATCTTTTTTAACATACATACATACATACGTATATACGTTTTCTTATACGTTACTTTGTGCTAACCTCGATTCAGAGTATAGAGAATAATAATTAATAAATTAATATAGAATAATAATTGATAAATTAATATTTATCAATATTATTTATTCATATTAATTGTTATTCTATATTAATTTATTAATTATTCGATTCAGAGTATAGAATAATAATTAATAAATTAATATAGAATAATAATTGATAAATTAATATTTATCAATATTATTTATTTATATTAATTTATTAATTATTATAGTATTTTTATATTCGATTCAGAATATAGAATAATAGTTAATAAATTAATATAGAATAATAATTGATCAAATAATATTTATGAATATTATTTATTTATGTTAATACGTTATTCTATATTAATTTATTAATTATTTGATTCGGAGTATAGAATAATAATTAATAAATTAATATAGAATAATAGTTAATAAAGTAATATAGTATAATTATTAATAAATTAATATAGAATAATAAATCAATATAGTATAATAGTTAATAAATTAATATAGAATAATAATTGATAAATTAATATTTATTAATATTATTTATTTATATTAATTATTATTCTATACTCAATTTAGAGTATAGAATAATAATTAATAAATTAATATGGTATAATAGTTAATAAATTAATATAGTATAATAATTAATAAATTAATATAGAATAATAATTGATAAATTATATAGAATAATAGTTAATAAATTAATATAGTATAATAATTAATAAATTAATATAGAATAATAGTTAATAAATTAATATAGAATAATAATTAATAAATTAATATAAAAATAATAATTAATAAATTAATATAGATGTTAATAATAATTAATAAATTAATATAAAATAATAGTTAATAAAATCAATATAGATGTTAAATAATAATTAATAAATCAATAACGCGATCGCATGAAAAAACATTATCGGACGCAGGAGAATGGAAATGCAGAAATGGTTCTTATTTCCCTGGAAATACCATTCGCACCACACAAGTTGAGGAACTATCTGAAAGGTTCGAAAGGGGCACGTCCCGTTGCAAACGGTTCTCTACACAAACTCCGTCTCTGTCGTTAAAATTTCTTCTCCCCGATGGCCTGTTTTCGTCGCCGCTCACCTTTGTCTCGAAGGTTCCTGAACATGTGCGGACTTCCATGGCGCAGCAAGGGGATGCTGTTCCTCATCACCTCCAGCTCCTTGTCTGTTAACACGCGTCTCTTCAGCCTCGCTGCAACATCACCGACATTTATCTATTTATTTATTTGTATCGTCTGTGAGTCGATCTCGGGGGGGGGGGGGGGGGTGGAGGTTCGCTGCATTTCGTTGCAAAGAACGTCGCGAAGGGACCTTGGAGTGTTTGTTCTGGCCGAGGGACCCAAACGAACGCGTTAAAATAGACACAGTCGATCGAATTTTTCTTCGTCTTTCGTCCAACAGCTTTCACTTACTTCAAGTTTATTTACACCATCGCATTTTTAACTTCTTCAGGCACGAATTCTTTTTCAGTTAGAAGAAGACGATTTAATTCTTCTCTTACGTTCTCATTGTTTTCAAGTTGCGATTTATTAACCGCTTGCGCCAGGACCAGATCTTACAATTTGGAACGAACGGCCAATTTTCTCTCTCAAGTGAGCCTCGATGCGCCACTAAATTATTTTAGCAACGAAAGTGTAATGTTTGTAAATGGCAAACGTGTGAGAAGGACATTAGAGAATGATACAAATTAATTTACTCTGTAGAGTAACAACAAATTAACAAATTAATAAATATAACAAGCAATGACAAATACTAACAAATTAATAAGAATAATGACAAACAACAAATTAACAACAAATTAACAAATTAATAAATATAACAAGCAATGACAAATACTAGCAAATTAATAAGAATAATGACAAATTAATAAATTAATAGATATAACAAGCGACAACAAATACTAACAAATTAATAACAATAATGATAAATTAATAAATATAACAAGCAACAACAAATTAATAAATTAATAAAGGTAACAAGCAATAACAAATTAATGAAATATTAAATATAACAAGCAATAACAAATTAATAAATTAATAAATATAACAAGCAATAACAAATTAATAAATTAATAAAGATAACAAGCAATAACAAATTAATAAATTAATAAATATAACAAGCAATAACAAATTAATAAATTAATAAATATAACCAGCAATAACAAATTAATAAATTAATAAATATAACAATAAATTAATAAATAACAACAATAATAACAATAATCTGACTCTAAGTAACTCGCTCCATGCGTTATTTCACCAGAAATCATAAATGTGCCTCTATTAGACTGTCTTACAAGACAATGTTAGAAACTGTATTAGCCTCAGGACCTTCAGGATGTCCTTCAGGATTGTCATTTATCCTTTTAGGTTGTCATTCATCAAGACATCGGTTCAATTGACGTCTATTCATACATTGGACAATGGTACGTTCCATTTGTCAACTGAACTCGATTTGTTCCATTTGTTTGTCAATTGAAATTGGGGGTATTTTAATTCTCTGTCTGATTGATAATTTTTGTTTTTTTTTTTTTTTTTTTTAACTCTTCAATCGTTTCGAGGCGAGTGGCGAGTCAATTTATTTTGACTGAATACTCACGTCTAGGTTCAGATTCGACAACGCTGTCGAGAAAGTCCTGAGGCGTCATGTACAGCTGGCCGCCGTACTCCACCGATGCAAATTTTATAAATCTTCGTTCCCTCATCGTCAGTTTTACTGCCCTCTGCGTCTCGTCCTCCTTCTGCGCACAAAAGGAAAGAAATGAAACAAATGAAAACCGTCAGTTTACGATCGTCAAGTTACTGCTGGTTTCACCATAAAATTTTCTATCTATTATATACACGCATAAATAAGCGGGGATGTTTATTATTATTTATAATAATAACCACCGGGATTTACAGCATGCAGGCGTCGAGGATTTGGCAAAATCCTCTTTCCTCCTTCCGGCTCTCGAAAATTAGAAAATCGTTGGAATCGCTTGAAAAGATGGGCCTGCTATAAACATAAACTTTCCCCTGCAATAAATAAATCGTAAATCGTTGACAGCAGGTAGCCCGAAAAGTCATATTTCCATTTATTTTGCAAGCAGAAACAGAGACAGACAACAAAATTATGAGACAAAAAAAAAAAAAAAAATGAAAAAATACAAGACCAAGCTAGAAAACAAAATTCGTAACGTAGTGAAGTATATGACGCCAATGCAACTTCAGAAAAGAGCAAATATCACTAAGAATAAGAATAGGACACACATTCCTATCTAATCACAAACGCACAGAACCAAATATCTGTGACAGGTGCAATCTACCCTAACTTCATTGAACATACAGGATAATATAGTGATAATTTATCTTTATATCACAATACTATAAATAAATAATAACTCCGTAATTAATTTTAGTTGTTTATATAAAAATATTATCAATATCACAAAATANATATATATAAGTGTCAGTAAACATTTCTATGGTGATAATAAAATTAATAGCTATTTTTAAATATTCTATTGTTTATATTAAATACACATCTCGACGAAACATAGATGTCGTTGATCTAAATTCTTTGAAATAGAGGTCGCTACAGTAGCTCGCCACATATTGCCATCTAGATTTACGTCATTATCGTTACGCGTAGCGAAAAATGTTTCAGATGAAGTTGAATGGTTTCGGGAGGTGTACAGTTCGATGACACTGGTTTTCTTGTAGGTGGACGTGTAGAGGACATATGAAGGTCATTGACGTTTCTTTAAATGGAATGATATATTTTTTATTGCATCAGTCGACGCGACTTGATATTCTTTACAAAAATTTATCAACCTGTTCATGTTCAAAAATCATTAGTTCGGGAGATATTTTATTTTCAATGTTGCTAGGAAATTAGGTGCACGCTGAGCCTCCGACTACAATGTCCAATATGACAGATCGTGTCATCACTGTTAGTGTGATAAAATAACACCAGATACATCGCACAATGCGAGTGAATTGTTAACCTATCGATTCGGGAAATGTCGTGATGTAAATGGCCGTCACATTGAACCTTTTCTGTAAATAAAATCATTACAACGTTAACAAAGGGGTCATGATTTTTTAACAACATTAAAATTAAAATATCTCACAAACTAATGATTTTTTCAGGTTAGTACTATTTTGTAAAGAATATCAAGTGATGCAATAAAAATATATATGATTCCATTTAAAGAAACGTCAATGACCTTCATATGTATATATCCTCCACCCTGTATATTGTTAATCTTGTTCCAAATATGAAGATAAAAGGAAATTTACATTGCTTTAAATGCTGCGAAGAAAAGATCCCTCAGGCCTTTAGGGACAAAAGCCTTCGAATTTTTGAAAGATATAAAATTCTACCTATTCTATTTGTTACAGTCGTACCTGCTCTGTCGTAAATCCTACCCCTGGTATTATAATAAATCATTATATTAAATCATTAATAACTCGAGAAGATCCTGAACAATTAGTTAAACAAACTTTGAATAAGCAAACAGAGACAGATTCGAAATTTTCTGTCCAACCAGTGAAATAAATGTACAGAGGGAAACACACTGAACGATTTCGAAAAGGCCTTCACGCAGGAAGAGATGCAAGAAAGGAAAAATTCGTTTGACAAAGACTGTCAGGAATCTTTGGGAAAAATCTTATTAACAAATACAATCATCCAGAATTTTCCAGATCCGAACAATATTACGGATTTTACACGATGGCGGCTCGTTATCGTATGAAATTCGAATGGCGAGTTCGCGCCGCGTGGCGATCGGTAAAACAGAGCCGAGAAATTATCGACAAAAATTGTAGAATTCTATGAAAATTTTTATAGAATTATGAACATTCGAAATTATAAATAACTCGAACGAGCTCCTCTGTGAGGCGTGGATCTCACGTTGGCCACAATATTAACCTCTTGCGCTGGAACGACGTGCCAAGCACATTTTTATCACAAAATTGCAACATTTTCTCAGTTTTAAATATGTTTAAGTATAATCTGGGCAAAGCAAACGACAAATTTATTACTTCTTAATAATTTCCATTCAGTTATATCATACTGACACGAGTTGAAAAGAAAAAAAAAGCGACTAATTGTTTCGGTCACTCGTTATGGTCCGCAATCAGAGTTAACCTCTTGCGCTGTAATGACGTGCCACACACGTCGAGAATTTTTTGCAAGATTTCCTCAGTTTTAAATATGTTTAAGTATAACCCAGGCAAAACAAACGATAAGTTTATTACTTCTCAATAATTTCCATTCAGTTATATCATACCGACGTGAGTTGAAAAGAAAAAGAAAGCGACTAATTGTTTCGGTCACTCGTTATGGTCCGCAATCAGAGGTTAACCTCTTGCGCTGTAATGACGTGCCACACACGTCGAGAATTTTTTGCAAGATTTCCTCAGTTTTAAATATGTTTAAGTATAACCCAGGCAAAACAAACGATAAGTTTATTACTTCTCAATAATTTCTATTCAGCTATATCATACCGACGTGAGTTCAAAAGAAAAAGAAAGCGACGAATTATTGTGTACGGTTTTGGTCACTCGTTACGGTCCGCAATCAGTTGCCAGCGCATGGGGTTAAAAATCGTGGATTCTCGTCAAAAATTCTCGCCACTAAAGGCGTTAAGTTTATTTATACACAGCAGAATAATCTTTAATCTGTCTTAAGTAGAGCTTTACCCATGAAATACCCGGATAGAGCAGAATTATTCAGGTATATATTTCGTGAAATAACCGGTCATTCAGATTATCTGACAGTAAGTCAGATAATCCTACGGATTCTCTCAAACTGTGTAGAGGATATTTGAAAGAGGAAGAAGATAAAAAGGTTTATACACGAAAAGAAGAAGATGAAAAGTTAATACTAGAACCATCAACAAAATGGTCAAAACGACCAATTTAGAATTTTCAATGGAAATTTTATATATTTATAATAGTAAGAAACTCGAGTGATTCTTAGTAAAATATATAGACGGAAGATTGTACTGATTGTTCCATTGTAAATTTCTTTCACTTTCATTTCTCCGCTACAAGTTTCCAATTTTCAAGTGAAATTGCAATACTATTGGAACGATGAATTTCACTTGAAAATTGACAAATAAATTAATCGAGGGAATGCCTGTGGAAGTACAGAGAAGAAAATCTCTTCAATTTTTATTTAGAGTTTTACTTGCAATGTTAAACGACGAGAACGTTCGATTTCGAACTGGGGATTGGACGACGCTAGTTTCACGTCGTAGGTGACGTCGATGATTTGTAAGGCTATCGAATAATGGCGTATTATGCAAATAGATTCAGAATCGGCGTGGGCGGCAGATGATCTCTTCTCTGAAGCGCCAGTGTCGTGCAACTGGGAGAATGGGCAATGTATTTTCATTCATATTTTCAGATTAGAGCCGACTGCTCGCACCCTTGTGCAGTTAGGTCTATAATTTTTCAGCTGTCCGAGCGAATAACCGACGTATCGATGCTATTAATCTTAAACTTGCGAGGTATCAGCAACGTTTCGTGCAATAAATCGAGTAACTCTCGTCTCAATTTGTCGATAAGCGACGTAGCAATACGTTCCGAGTTGTACAATTAACTCTTATATTCGTATAAGTATCTGGATATGTATTATAACTGTCCTTTCAAGGTCAAAAAAAATTTTTTTCTTTTGCATTGTATTCTATTTATCACAAAGGTAAAACCTTTCCAAGAAATTTAATAGTTCTTTCAAAAGAAAAAAAAAAAAAAAAAAAAATGGCAAAAAAGTTCCTTAATCATTTAATGTTGCGGACGCGTGCGTTCTAACAGCGACTTTATGATTCTAAAACGCGTGGATTTAATTTTCGTATTAGGTTTTACTAACGTTTGATTCATCATACAGCATCGTTAAATAATCAAACGATACAACTGACTGTTTAACATTATTATTCGAAATATAAACATTATATCCACGCGTTCAGAACTATAAAGCCGCTGTTAGAACGCGCACGTCCGCGGCGTCAAACGATCGAGAAACTTTTTTGCCATTTTTCGAGAGAACTATCAAACTGCGACCTATGGTCCCTTGGAAACGTTTTACCTTCACGATGAATAGAATGCAATGTGAAGGAGACGAAAAATTTTGATCTTGAAATTCAAGGTCGAGGTCAGTTTCGCGACAGATTCTTTACACGTATCTCCATCAAATCGAAGATGTTGAATTCATTTATGATAGCCACGGACAAACGTCCCTTTCCATCCTGTGTACATCGCGAATTTAACAGAACGATCGACGGAAGGATAATTTGCTCGTCGACGACGTTCAGATACGAATCGGACAATGCACACGATCGAATAAAAAACATCGTCGAAATGGATCGTTCGTTTCCTCTCGTTACGCCGCGAGTTTCAATCGGCATTATTATCGGCTCGTATTGACGACGCCATTAGCCGGATGGAAAATACGAACGGAAATCAGATGGGTTGGCTTAACTTAGAACTGGCGCTGGCCTAACAGGAGCTTAAGGATCTGTTGGCTGGTAGTTTTGTTGTCGGGCGCATTTCCATAAGCGCCGTCGTAATCGGATACCGCGTCTTTCGCGAATCTCCGTCCGATCGTAAATCAAACGGTTTTTCTTTTTTCTTTTTTTCAAGCGACGAATCGTTTTTGCAGTGTCTCTCGCACTCGTAATGGCCTCTTCCCGATCAAGATTAGCTCGCGAAGTAACTTGTAGGTTCGCGCAGAAAGTTTCTTTTTTTTTTTTTTTGT